CTAGACTCACGCTCTAGACCAAACACTCTGTAGGCAAACCACTCCCTGGGTAGAATCCCACGTTATTTTCATAAAGGGAACTGGAACTTGGTTGGATCCTTAGACTTTTGTTTTAGGTAGGAGCCAACCACTTCCCTATTCCAGGAGGTCTGGCAACTAGCCACACCAGAACTCTGATTTACAACTAGGTGGAACCTTTAAGGGAAAGTACAATAACCTTAAAGGAACAAGAAATGAGTTCCAGCGGGGCAGTAGTGGCACATACCTTTAATCCCAGCACTCAGGAGGCAGAGGCAAGCAGATTTCTGTGAGTTCGAGACCAGCCTGGTCTACAAGAGCTAGTTCCAGGACAGGCTCCAAAGCTACAGAGAAACCCTATCTTGAAAAACCAAAAAAAAAAAAAAAAAAAGGAGTCCCAAACTCTCCGACCTTTGGCCACTTCGGGTCTCCACAGCAGACTTAGATGACCAAATGGCCACTCCATAGCTGTTCCCACTCTGGTGACCCAGACTTCTCCATCATGCTTCTGCATTCTCTATTTTTGGTTGTTTGCTGATCAGTCTGAAAGGAAGGACTAGTGGTATGGTGGTGTTGGAGCGCATGCCCAGCATGTAAGGCCCAGAGTCCAGTCCCCAGCACCACAAAAAGTAAGAAGCAGGCCAGACCACCCCTCCTGCTTAATGTTCCTATTTATTGAGACAGAGTCCCTGCGTAACCCTGGCTGTCCTAGAAGTCACTATGTAGACCAGGATGGCTCAGACTCAGAGATCTGCCTGCCTCTGCCTCTACACTGCTGGGATTAAAGGCGTGCGATGCTGGTGTCACCACCACCACTCATACACATAAATTTTTTAAGATAAAAATTTAACATAAATTTTTAAAAATTTATGTGTATGAGCATTTGCCTGAATGTATGTCTATGTACCACTTGCATGCCCGGTGACCTCACAGGCAGGAAGGGGTCACTGGATCCTGTAGCATGATTAAAACCCAGAGACAGATAATGGGGTTCAACACGAAGACCAGACAAGCAAAGCAGTCAGCCATTGGCTCTTACCTCTAACTCGGTCCGAAATCACGATCCTGCCTCTAGGGATTCTCAGAAAGAGACTGAGCCTGAGAGATGTCTCCTCCCAATTTATATTCCTCTCTAGTGCTGGAATTTAAGGCATGCACTAGGGCAAACTAGTGTGGCTCTTACTGGGATTAAGGGTGTATCTCATTACTGCCTGGTCTGTAAGGCTGACCAGGGCAGCTGTTTTGCCCTCTGATCTTTAGGCAAGCTTTATTTGTTAAACTACAAATGAAATAATACTACATTTCCCCTTTTTTTCTAAAATAAAAAAGCTATAACTAATATAAGAAAAACGATATACAATAAGTACAATGACTGTATACAATATATATATAATACAACAATGTCTAATCCATTTGCATTTGACAAGTTCAGAGAAAATACTTCATATCTGAGTCCAAAATCTTGTACCTAATTTACTTTTTTTCTTTTTGGTGTTTTGAGACAGGGTTTCTCTGTGTCACTTTGTTGCCTGTCCTGGAACTAGCTCTTGTAGATCAGGCTGGCTTCGAACTCACAGAGATCCTCCTGCCTCTGCCTCCCAAGTGCTGGGATTAAAGGTGTGCGCCACCACCCTGCTCCTAATTTACTCTCTATCGTGATTTGCTTGCTACATCAGGTAAGCAAGGAAAACTATAACTTTCTAGTCTTCAGCTCTCTCATAGACCCAAGAAGGAAATAATATTACCTGAGTAAGCAGGAATTGTGAACAAGTGACTTCCAGAAAGTGTGAGAAATGACAGCAACAGCCGGCTGCCTGGACAGTCGCCCAAAGTTCCTCTGCAACACCGACAGGCCTAGCATATCCCACAAACTCTTCTGTGAAACAGGATTTTCTGAAGGGCTATCCCTCCTTGTCTTGACAGTGTTTGACGGTCTCTTTCTTTGGTGTCCTGCTTGTCTAATTAGAACAGCACACTGTGAGCAGTCAGGGCAGGGGCATTTTCTTGCCCAAGAGCTTACTTTTGCCATAAAAAAGTAAACTCAGCTGTGCGGTGGTGGCGCACGCCTTTAATCCCAGCACTCAGGAGGCAGAGGCAGGAGGATCTCTGTGAGTTTGAGGCCAGCCTGGTCTACAAGAGCTAGTTCTAGGACAAGCTCCAAAGCTACAGAGAAACTGTCTCGAAAAACCAAAAAAAAAAAAAAAAAGTAAACTCCATGTAGTTTCTTCGCTGCCCATCTCTTCTCTGAAGTAGATTGGTGCTGCCAGCAGCAGACATGCCTCATTGTCATAAAAAGGAGCCTATGTTATTAAAACATCTTAAATGCCATATTCTATAGATCTCTGAAGTGTTTGAAGATGACCTGTCTATCTAAAACATCTGTTTGACCTTGAAAACATACCTAATGTGACTACAAGTTTGATTATAATAGGTGACTAATTACTAACCTGCATTTTCTTATTATCCTAAGCAGTTGGTGTAATGATCTGTCTGTCTCTTTAAGAGACAAGCCATGCCCACTCCCTCCCCGCTTCTGCTGAGGCAGGCAGATCTTCCTTCCCACTTGCAGCCTGAGTCTCTTCCTTTTCCATCTCCCTCTCAAAGAGGCACCTTCTGCCTCTCCCCCTACTGCCACTGCTCGGGGACCTGCAGTATTTCTGCTGCTGCAGCCACTGGGATCCTGCAGCATTTTTAATTAATCCATTACAGTTGGTATTAATAACTTTCGAAGACTAGAAATTTGCATTACATTGTTTTTCTTGGGTTTTTTTTTTTCGAGACAGGGTTTCTCTGTGGTTTTGGAACCTGTCCTGGAACTAGCTCTTGTAGACCGCCCTGCTTTGCATTACATTGTTAAATGAGCTGTATAGGTAGAATACCCTGAACAAGATTAGAAACATACGTACAGTATGTTTTAACAAAATTAATCTCACACCGGGTGGTGGTGGCGTACACCTTTAATCCCAGCACTTGGGAAGCAGAGGCAGGGGATCTCTGTGAGTTTGATGTCAGCCTGGTCTACAGAGGGATTTTCAGGATAGGCTCCAAGCTACAGAGTTACCTTGTCTCGAAAATTAACAAAAAACAAACAAACAAACAAACAAAAAAACCTAATAGTAATAATCTCAAATTTGTATACAATATATAAAAGTCCAATCAAATATAAAACATTTAAAACTAGTAGTTGCTTTCTAAAAGTAGATTCAATAATCCACTGTTTTATCTTATTAGGATCCCTGGAACTAGAGTCACAGGCAGTTGTGAGCTGCCATCTGGGTGCTAGAAACTGAGCCCAGGTCCTCTGGAAGAGCAGACAACGCTCTTCACACTGAGCCACCTCTCCAGCCCTTTTTTGCCTTTAGAGACAGGTATTTCACCAAATCTGCCCAGCATTCTTTAAAATATTATATAAACATTACAATTTTTATTGGGGTGCCTGAACTGGTATCTCTACATAGCCCTGGCTGTCTTGGAACTCACAGTATTGACCAGGCTGGCCTCAGACTCAGAGTCCACCTGCCTTTGCCTCCCAAGTACTGGGATTAAAGGTGTTATCCTAAAAAGTGTTTTGTGCTCTTTTGTTTGCTTGTTTGTTTTTGTTGTTTTGTTTTGTTTTTTGAGACAGAGTTTCTCTGTGTAAGAGCCCTAGCTGTCCTGGAACTACCTCTGTAGACCAGGCTGGCCTCAAACTCACAGAGATCCACCTGCCTCTGCTTCCCCAGTGCTGCGATTAAAGACAAGTACTACCATCACCTTTTTAAAAAAGGTTTTGTGTGTCTGGGTGTTTTGTCTACATATACATGTATGCATGCAGCTTTTGAGGAGGCCAGAAGAGGGCATCAGATCCCAGGAACTAGAGTTACAGATGGCTGTCAGTCACCATGTGGGTGCTGGGAATTGAACTGGGGTTCTCTGCAGGAGCCCCTCCTCTTAACTGCTGAATCATCTCTCCAGCCCAAGATGTGCTGTTTTTGAGAGCATTATTCTAGCTGGCTCTGTGATACAAACTGTGGTCCCTGCTTTTTTTTTTTTTTTTTTGAAGCCAGAGCACGAGAATCACTTAAACCATCCATTCATGAATTTGAGAGCAGTCTGAGCAACACGGCAAGAATGAACAGCTTCTCAACAGTTGTGGTAACAGTAAGTGTGCCTTCAGGAGGCAGGAGGCAGCTCCCGTGACTGCAAATGTCTCTCCAGGTGAACGGCTGGCGTGTTTCCTCTTCATCTGTTACCAATAAAGGCTGTTTGTGCCCTAAAATAAATAATAACTAAATTAATGTAAAGTTTTACACTGAGAAAGGGTTTCTAGTTCTCAACAGACTGTCAAGGGGTCACAAGAAGAGGGGGCAGAGGCCCTCTCTGAAGACTGTTATTTACTTAGTTTTCATTTCTGCTGTTTCATTTTTGTTTTTGGAAGGGCTCTCTCAGTAGTCCAGGCCAGAGCCCGGAGGTTACTAACCGGAGTCACCGTGACCAGGTCTCCAAACATGTAAAGCCATTTCCTCCGATATTCACAAATGTCGCATGAAGCAAGGACAGTGCCCTGAAACTGAGCACCGGGTCAGCTGTCAGCGCAACAACTCCGGATAGCAATAACAAGAGGTATCCGGGGACCGCCGAGTCGGGGATGAGGCCACCCATGAGCTTCGGTTCTGCACCAACCACTCACCAGGTTCTCTTGTTGTTGTTTTGCTTTAGGTGCTGAGAGGTCAGAATCCCGGGCTGGGAGATGGGGCCAGTTTTTGTTTGTTTTGTTGTTTTAGACAAAGTCTCCCTACGCAGCCCTGGCTAGCCTGGAATTCGGGCTGTGTAGACCCGGCTAACGTCAAACTCACAGGGATCCTCCTGGTGAGGCTAGTTTCGAGATGAATCTCCTGTCAGTTCCGGACTGCCCGAGTCACACCCCCGTGGCGTCAACCCCGGAGCCCGCTGGCGTAGCTGCCAAAGTCCTAGGATGCCAAAGGGGCAGGGCAGGAGGAAGACAGACGGGGCCAATGGCAGTCCAGCGCCTCACCTGGGTGGCCACGTGGGTCCAGGTATGCGGCGGCCCCGCCCTGGCCCAGCCCGGCAGACTCCGGACTCCGTCTTGGAGCGGAAATTCCTGCAGGGGCTGGACGCCGCGGGCGGAGCTCAGCATGGAGCCCGTGGACGCCTGGACCCCTGGGAAGGTGGCAGCTTGGCTGAGAGGTTGGTGAGCTGGGGGCAGGGGTGGGCTTGAAGGGAATAGTGTGGTGTCCTTTGAACAGAAAGTAGGGAGGGGGAGAAGGGGAAAGAACCTGCCGAGTCTGTTAGTCAACAGGTATTTATAGACGGTCTGCCATGTACCAGTGTACCAGGCTCCCCTGAACAGGCACCGTGCTGGTAGACATAGGCCAGGCCACACCAGAGGCCCTAAGACGCAGGAAAGGGTCTTTCCACATCTTTATATGGCTTTGTATGTTCAAGCGCCTGCCAGGGTGGCGACGGGCAGGTGCAGTAATAGGCAAAACAGGGTGGCCCTGGTGGCCCACGCCCCCTTTATCTCCGTCATCTTCCCTGTGCCCCAGGGCCCTGCCAGCTTTTTATTAAGCCCATTTTTCGGAAGTGCAAACAGGTACAGGGCCAGGAAGTGATTTGTTCAGTCTTGGAACAGGGCCGGCCCTGGTGTCGCTTCTCTCCTCAACCTGAGGCTGGCAGTGAGAGAAGCAGAAACCCCAGCTATTCCGAAGGGGGGGGGATGAACACAGCCCCACCCTGGGGTTGCCGGCAGAGGGAAGATCACTCCCTAGGCGATCAAGAGACACAAACACAGGCAGACTCAGAACTGGGGGCCTTCTGTGACCGCAGCAGGGAGTGGGGAGGCTGCTCATTGCTTTCACAGGGGCAGCTGTGAGCAGCCCAGCCGAGCTGCTGTGAGCAGCCCAGCCGAGCTGCAGTCACGCTCCCAGGCTGGGGCCCAGGCCAGCGCCGCCACTCAGCAGGTGTGTGAGCACAGGTCTCAGTTTCTCTACCATGAAACTAGACAAGATGTGACCATGCTGGTGTGACTGGCATGTGTCACTCAGTGTTGGTGTCTCCTGGGAGACCTTTAACATGGGGAGGAAGTTGTCCAAATAACCCTGGCTGAGTGAGCTGCCAGTCAGGACTCTTACTGTCACAGGACGACCGAGAAACACCAGATGGCGACACACATTCCCCAGGGACAGTCTAGCCTGGTGAGGTGGGAGGCGTGAGCAAGCCACTGTCTCTCCTTCCATCAGGTCTCCCATTGTGTATCAGGGATGATGCATAGTTTCCGCCTTCTAGAAACGTGAAGATCAATGTGCCGATACGTGTAGTGATATTTTGCTTGTAATATCTGACTCTGGGTTTTCATTAGTAATACCAGTTAGAATTTGTGCTACAAATATGGGTGAAGTTCTTTTTTATTTATTAATTTTTGAAGCAGGGTTTGTTTCTCTGTGTAACAGCACTGGCTGTCCTGGAACTCACTCTGTAGGCCACACTGGCCTCGAATTCAGCGATCCCCTTGTCTGTCTCTGCATTCCAAGTGCTGGGATTAAAGGCACGCACCACCACACTTGACTCAGGGTAAAGTTCTTGAAACACCGCCTCACACAAAGTCAGGTCTCAGTGGACAGCCTGGCAATAGTGTGATGGCACCCATCAGTCGTCTAAAACACAGGGTTAGAAGGCAGGTGCTTTCATTGTTCCCATTTTATTTATTTTTAATTTTTTTCCCCCGAGACAAGGTTTCTCTGTAGCTTTGGAGCCTGTCCTGGAACTAGCTCTTGTAGACCAGGCTGGTCTCGAACTCACAGAGATCCACCTGCCTCTGCCTCCCAAGTGCTGGGATTAAAGGCGTGGACCACCACCGGCCGGCTTTATTTTTAAATTTTTACTTCCTCTTCAACTGCATGCCAGAGTAACTGGAGAGACTTTGACAGCCCAGACCAGCACAGTGCCTGCAGCTGCCATTCAACTTTCCTATATATGTTGAAAATAATAAATAAAATTTTTTTGTTTTTTTTTTTATGCAGGCAGGTTTTTTTTAAAGATAGATTTATTTATTTATTTTGTATGCACTGTTCTGCCTGCATTCCAGAAAAGGGCACCAGATCTCATTACAGATGGTTGTGAGCCACCATGTGCTTGCTGGGAATTGAACTCAGGTCCTATAGGAAGAGCAGTCAGTGCTCTTAACCTCTGAGCCATCTCTCCAGCCCCAATAAATAAATTTTTATTTCCTTAATGTATATGAATATTTTGCCTGCATGTATGTGTGCGCTTACAAATGGTTATGGGCTACCACCATGTGGGTGCTGGAAACTGAGCCAGGGCCCTTTGCAAGAACAGGAAGTGCTCTTAACCACTGAGTCATCTCTCCTGTTTTTGTTTTGTTTTGTTGCTTTTTGGAGATAGGGTTTCTCTGTAGCTTTGGAGCCTGTTCTGGAACTCACTCTGTAGACCAGGCTGGTCTCAAACTCACAGAGATCCACCTGCCTCTTCCTGCCTCTGCCTCCCCAGTGCTGGGATTAAAGGGCCTGCGCCACCACCACCCGGCTGCACAGGACTCTCTTAAGTGTTAGCTCTCACTCAGCTCTCCCTGCCTCCGGGGGATGGGGGTCCTGGGAAACAAGCTCAGGTCCTCAGCAAGAGCAGCGTGTTTAGTTCTCAACCACTGGAGCATCACGCTCTCCTCTTTTGTTTGTTTTATTTTTTGGTAACTGGATTGCAAGGTGTTTGAGCATGAATTTGGTAGATGGCAATGCCAGCAGGTTGGACACACTTGCTAGAGTGGCTGCTGTAGACCATTGTCAACTCAGTAGCATCAACTGCGAGATGGGACAGAAGCCAGCCCGGGTCTCAGGGTTGTCATTAGCCACAGGTAGGAGGGGAAGAGCTCTGATGTAATGGAACCTCAGAGTGGTAATGACACTTGTTTCTCCACGCTGACCCCTTGCTCCAGGCCTTGATGATGCTCTGCAGGACTATCCCTTCGAGGACTGGCAGCTGCCTGGAAAGTACCTGCTGCAGCTTTGTCCCCAAAGCCTTGAGGCTCTGACTGTGTGGCCTTTGGGCCACCAGGAGCTCATTCTAGATGGGGTGGAACAACTCCGGGCCCTGGTGAGTAAGGTTGTAGCATCCACCAGTCTAGGGGTTTGCCCACGTGGGCTGGCTGTTGAGGGGGCAGTAAGATGCTCGTTTTTGATGCAGGGCTCCAAGCTACCTACAGAGAACCTGCAGAGCCTGGCTCAGGGGCTGCTAGAAAGGACCCAGGCCTTCCAGAGCTTGGTCCAAGGCCGGTTGGGAAACTACCCTGAGACTCCCTCTGATGTCCTCACAGCTGCTGTGGAGCTGGTGCGGGAAGCCCAGGCCCTCCTCTCCTGGCTCAACAGGTATTAGGGATGGGCTGACTTCTGACCCTTCTCATCCTGGGGCCTGGGACTGAAAAACAGTACTTATCTCTGGATCAGCTGTCAGAGCAAGCCCAAGAGTGTGCAGGGACACTGGGCCACCTTGCTTCCCGCCCCACCCTGGAGCTTGTCGTCCCAATGGTTTTATCAGCAGTTGAGTTTTTGTTTGCATGTTTGACATTTGTGTGTATGGGGTGTTTGGGGGGTTGCACAGGAGTGTATGCAAAGGTCAGAGCATCCCTTGTAAGAGTTAGTTTTCGACTTCCTCCGTGTGAGTCCCGGGTATTGAACTCAGGTACTCAGACCCTCACCACTGTAGGCAAGCACCTTAGGGATAAACAATCTCCCTGGTCCCTCAACAGCTCTTGGGATAGAGAGCTTCCCCTCTGCGGGCAGTTGTCTGTCCTACATGTCCTACCTCAAGTATCACCTCCTCAGGGACGCCTGTGTCACCCTTACATTTGTAATACTCAGAACAGTTGAAGTTAAGTCATTAATAATAGAACTGTCTGTTTGATGGCCGTCTCCCTGGTGCCAACAACAGGGCCTGGCACACACGGGACAAAAAAGTCCTGTGCTGAGCCCAGCGCACTGAGGTAGGAGTTGTCTCCACTTCTCAGGTGAGGAATTATTTCCAACACAGTGTCTTAATTGTCTTTCCTGTCAGGTACCTCTTCTCGCAGTTAAATGACTTCTCTGCTTGCCAAGACATTGGTGTGTTGTGCCGGGAGCTGGGCCAGGTCTTGCAGGAGGTAGGAGGACAGGGGCCACTCCAGGTCCCAGAGCTTTTTATAACCTGTGAATCAGACCAAGATTAGGTGTGAGAGCTGGGGGTGGGGAGAGCAAGCACAGGAAAAGGCCTGCCTCTGGGAATGGGGTAATAGGCAATGGGGTGGGTCGTGGGATGTCTCTGGCAGAAGTTCAGGTGACATTTGGGAAGGGTGGCAGGAGAGGACGTGGGTAGTAATTGAGTCAAGTGTCACGTTGGAGAAAGGAAACCTTGGCGTTAAACACTGAGACCATTCTAGTTCTGCCAAGGAGACCAGTTAGAGAAAGCAAGTGAGGAACATCAAAGGCCCTTCTCAGCCTCTCCCCATGTCCTCAGGAGAAAATGGCCCCCATTGCTATCTAAAAGGGGGCTCCTGTACTCTCTGTTTTCAGGACTGCCCAGAGGCTGAGAAGGAAAGCAGCATCCTAAGGATTGTAAGTCTCAGGGCTGGGTGGGGAGGCCTAGGATATGGACTCGGACTCAGCCAGACAACCTGCCCTCCTCCCCCAGTGCAGTCACGTGGCCGGGATCTGCCACAACATCCTGAGCTGCAGCCCAGAGGAGCTGCTGGAGCAGAGGGCTGTGCTGGAGCAGGTGCAGCTGGATGACCCTTCAGTGAGTTGACTCTCACCTTCTCCTGCAGCCACCCACAGCCTTGACTGAGCCCTGAAGTATGGTCCGGGAGTCCCAGCATCTTGTATTGCTAAGTCTGTTGTGTACAGGTGTTTAATTGAGGGCCCAGAGGACCTACCTGGAGTCTCACCTTTGCTGGGCACCTTTCCCAAGCCAGAGGGGCTATTTAGCGTGGCCTGGGTGACATCCCAGCCCTGACAAGGTTCTGGAGCAGATTAATAGAGATGGGAGGGAACGCTTACACTTTAAACTTGACCAGTTAAGAAAACCAGAGTTAGGGCTGGAGAGATGGCTCAACTGTTCAGAGCACCGGCCGCTCTTCCAGAGGACCCAGATTCAATTCCCAGCACCTACTTGGCAGCTCACAACTGTCTGTAACTCCAGTTCCAGGGGATCTGACACCTTCATACCAAATGCATATAAAATAAAGTTAAATAAATATTAGGGCTGGAGCCATAGCTAAGCGGTTAGGAGCACTGACTGCTCTTCCGGAGGACCCGGGTTCAATTCCCAGCACCTACAGAGCAGCTAAGATGTGACATTCTCACACAGACATACGTGAACACCAATGCACATCAAATAAAAATAAATTATTAAAAAAACAAAGGAAACCAGAGTTGCTCCCCCTGCCCCCCAACCCCATGTCATCCCCCATTCTCCCTTCAGGAAAAGTTCTGAGACTCTGTTACCTCAGAAATCAGAGACACAGCTTTCCTGTGGCCTTCTGGGTTTGTGTGTGTCTGTGTGTGTGTGTCGCCAACGAGCCCAAAGTTACACAGCAGTTACAATCCCATCTTGAGGCTCTGTACCCATTCTGTCTACCTTAGAGTCCTGGTGCCCAGGGTGAGGTCCTGCCCATTGGCTCTGCTCAACCCTGGTTTTCTTGACTTAGTTCCTATCTCTACAGGATCTAGAAATCCATACCACCAGCAACTGCCTACACTTCGTGTCCCAAGTAGGTGCCCAGGTAAGAGCCCCACCACTTTCACCACCCGTGCCTACCCTGAATTCTCAGCTGCAAGCCATGCCAACTTCAGGTCCAGGAAAGCCCCATTCTCTGGCCCCATTTCTCCTCACTCTAGGCTCCCGCCAGCTCCCAGATCCTGCCAGGAGATGAGATTGTCCAGATCAATGAGCAGGTGGTGGTGAGTGAGGGAGGGGGCAAGGTGGTGCGGATGAGTGCTGAGGAGGCTCGTGGGGGGCAACAGGAACATCGCCTGAGGGGTTTGCCCCTTGTGAAGACCAGGGTTGTGGGAGCTGCCTTGCTTGACATGCGCCAACACAGGAAGGTCTCAGGGTGACCCCTGGCCTTTCCTCAGTTAAAGAGGCTCCTGGTGGCTCCCTCAAGGAAGAGTTGCTGGGCAGTTTAGAACCTCACTCAGTGTCCCTGTCCCCCAGGTGGGCTGGTCCCACAAGAACGTGATGGAGCTGCTGAGGGAGCCAGGAAGGGTCAGCCTGGTGCTGAAGAAGATCCCAGTGCCCGAGACCCCTTCTCAGGTACCTGCCCCCCACCCCTCCTGCCTGCTTTCTCACTCCCGTGGGCAGCTCTGTCACTTTGTTTTTGATTGTTCCCAGACGCCCCTGGACTCCCCTCACCTGCCAAGCCAGTCCCTGCCTCTGACCCCACTATCTCCCAGGTAACAACCTCTGTCTACTGGGTGTGTCTGGTGTTTTTTTTTTGGGGGGGGGTGTTTTTTTTTTTTTTTAAAAAAAAAGCTTAATGTGTACTACTTCTTTAAAAAAAAAACTTTATTTTGTGTGAGTTGGTGTGAAGGTATCAGATCCCCTGGAACTGGAGTTCAGACAGTTATGAGCTGCCATGGGGGTGCTGGGAATTGAACCCAGGGTCTCTAAAAGAGCAGTCAGTGTCCTTAACCTCTGAGCCATCTCTCTGGCCCTTGTTTTGGTTTTTGAGACAGGGTGTCTCTGTGTAGCTCTGGCCGTCCTGGAACTTACTTTGTAGATCAGGCTGGTCTCAAAGTCACAGAGATCCACCTGCCTCTGCCCCCCAAATGCTATGATTAAAGGAGTGAGTAGTCGGGCCTGACTTCTGGGTATTCTTGAAGCAGGGACCATAGGCTCATCTCCTGTCCTCTTGTTTTCCGCAGGGTTCCGTCCGAAGGTCTCTTTGCCTTCAACCTGTCTGCAGATGGAAGTCCTGGAACGAGCGCTGCCTGGACAGGTAGTTTCCCAGAGCCAGCAGGTGGCACACGCCCTGGAAAAGGCATCTCCATGCTGACTTTCCCAACCACAGGCCTGGGCCCTGAGCTCATGGATTTCCCTTCTCTCTCTTCCCTGCCTGATAGACTCTGCCTCCCTTGACACTGAGTCCCTGCCCACGCCCCCTCCAGCCCCAGGCACTGTTTCAGAAATAACAGCAGAGTCTCCGGAGACATCTGGACACTCTGACCAGGTAAACTCAAGGACTCAGCAAGGAGGGCCATGGGCTCTGGCTCTAGAACCTTTTCTAAGCTCTTTGTGGTCTTTGCAGAGTTCCACCCTTGGTCGGAAGAAATCAAAAGGTATGAGCGCCCCTGACTGGGCGGGGTCTTAGAAATCTTTACAGGGCTGGGCGGGGCCCCTCAATGCACACACATGCTTCCGACACAACAGTCTTTTCTGGAACCATGGACCCCTGCTTCTCGCCTAGGCCTCTTGCTAGCTCTGAGACTGAGAAAGTACCCTCTGATCGTCAGCTTTATCTCAGGTGGTGTGTGGGTGTGCATGTGTTTGTGTACGTGTGTGCGTGCATGTGCGTGTCCCAGAGCTTCCCAGAGCACTCTTCCACTACGCTGTATGTCCAGCCTCTCTAGTCACTCCACCTGAGGCCATTTGTGACATTGTGAGTGCAGAATGAGTTCAGACAGTTCTACTGGGGATTCCCATGGGGGCAAGTAGACTGAGTGAGGGATGCTTGCTGGGCCCTCAGCATGCTCTGCTCTGTCGGGCAGGTATGGCCACAAGGTTGAGCCGCCGGCGGGTATCCTGCCGGGAGCTGGGCCTGCCGGACTGTGACGGATGGCTTCTTCTACGCAAGGTACCCGGTGGCTTTATGGGCCCACGCTGGCGCCGCTGCTGGTTTGTACTCAAAGGACACAACCTCTACTGGTACCGCCAACCCCAGGTGAGACCCCATGAACACTTGCATAGGTACCACGATAAATTCTTATCTGTTTGACGCAGGGAAGCACCATACCTAGCCCTAGGCCTTAGTATTTCCATTTGTAAAGTGGGGTGGCTTGGTAGAGATATGAGTTCATCCGTGTGTAAGAGAAGGTTGTAGGGGAACTGGAAAGCTGGCTCGGCAGTCGAAGCACTGGCTACTCTTGCAGAGGACTGGTGTGTAGTTCCCAGCCCGCACGTGGTAACTCACAGCTGTCTCTTTTTTTTTTTTTTTTTTTTTTTTTGATTTTTCGAGACAGGGTTTCTCCGTAGCTTTTGGTTCCTGTCCTGGAACTAGCTCTTGTAGACCAGGCTGCCCTCGAACTCACAGAGATCCACCTGCCTCTGCCTCTGCCTCCCGAGTGCTGGGATTATTCACAGCTGTCTCTTATCCCAGTTCTGGGAGATTCAGTGCCCCTTCTGACTTCTGTGGGCACCAGGCACACATGTGTGCACAGACACGCATCAGTCTTGGCTACATAGCAAATTTCAGGCCAGCCCAAACAACAGAGTGAGACTCATGTCTCAGAAGAAAAGAGCCAGTGAGATTGCTTGTCACCAAACCTGATGGCCTGAGTGTAATACCCATAACTCACATAGTCTGGCAAGTTGTCCTCTGATCTCCATGTGTCTCGGGGCAAGGGTGGGTGCGCACACATGCATGCACACACGCACACACACATGCACACGCACACACACGCGCGCACACACACACACGTACACACACGCGCACACACACACGCGCACACACACACGCGCACACACACACGCACACGCACACACACACGCGTACACGCACACGCACGCACACACACGCACACACAATAGATAAATGTAAGCCATTTTTTTAAAGTGTAGGGAAAATCATTTTTATTCTCCTTACCTCCCTTTTCTTCTGATATTCTATCCAACTTAGTGATGGGCCGCTTAATCACTTATTCACTCAGTAGACATCCAGGTGCCTGCCTACTGGACCCAGCTCTGAGTTAGAGCCTTGGGGGTACAGAGGAGATTTGGATAGTCCCTGCCAGTCTTGTAACTTAGAGGCTCATGGGGGAAAAGGACAATGGGCCATCTGCTAGGATGAAGAGACTTCCAGGCAACGTGTGGGAGCCCAGAGAGGTGTCTGATCTAGTCCAGGGAGTCCAGAAGCTTCTTTGGAAAGCTGTGTTTGAATGTTTGTCAGGGGAACGGGGGAAGGAAAACCAGGAAGGGAAGAGACTTAGGACACAAAGCAGCTCCTGGGAGAGGATCTGTCTGAGCAAGTTCCTCCCCTTTGGCTATCTTTCTAGTACCTTTGCTCTCCTTTCCCTGCTCAGAGGTGCCCCTTGGCCACACCTCCTGCCCTGAGCTCTAGAAACCCAGACAGGTAACTAGGGAGCTTGAGGGCTCAGTGGCTCCATGGTGACCTGAGGCCCCACGCTGACCTGGGACTCAGTGCTGACCTTCTTGTTGTGACCCCCAGGATGAAAAGGCTGAAGGGCTTATCAACGTCTCCAACTACAGTCTGGAGAGTGGACAGGACCAGAAGAAAAAATAGTTAAGTCTTGAGATGCGATGGGATGGGGAGAAAAAGGGAGAGGAAGGGTGGGGTAGGGTGGACATGTGGCAGGTGGCTGGGATTCCTGATCCAACTCTCGCTGGGTTCTGAATGGGCATGCCCAGAGGAGGCTGTGACTTGCTTTTGCTTGCCGGCAGTGTGTTCCTGCTGACCCATGACGTGTACAAGCCCTTCGTCTTTGCTGCTGAGACCCTGTCTGATCTGAGCATGTGAGTATTACTTCCCCTTCCCTATTCCCATGAGGTCCCCAGCCTCCACATGCTCAAAAGCTGGGCTCAGGAGACTGGACTCAAACTGCAGCTCTCAGAAAGCCTCAGTTTCGTCATCTGCAGAATGGGCAAAGGAGAATTTCAACCTAAGTTGCTCTATGAGGGTCAGATCTGTGGATCTGGGACATGGTGGTTCACCCCTTTAATTCTAGCACTTAGGAAGCTAAGGCAGGAAGATTGCAAGTGTGAGACCAGCCTGGGCTACATAGTGAGTTTCAGGTCAACCAGAGCAATATAATAAGACACTGCCAGGCGGTGGTGGCACACGCCTTTAATCCCAGCACTCAGGAGGCAGAGGCAGAGGCAGGTGGATCTCTGTGAGTTCGAGGCTAGCCTAGTCTAAAGAGCGAGTTCCAGGACAGGGTCCAAAGCTACACAGAGAAACCCTGTCTCAAAAAACAACAACAACAAAAAAAAAAAGGAAGAAAGAAAGAAAAAAGAACCTGGAAGAGAACAGAGGATAGAGTCCAGTATAGAGCGTATCCTGCTTCCTTACACTCAGACTCCAGTACCGTTCAAAAAAGTTCGGGAAAAATGTTAAAAACTGTAGGTAAAGGGTGAAAAGCTCAGAGGTAAGTGGGCTGCAGTGAATGGGAACTCCACAACCCGCATGCTCCTTCCTCTACAGGTGGGTACGTCATCTCATTACCTGCATTTCCAAGTACCAGACTCCAGGCCAGGCAGCCTCTGCCAGGGAAGAAGGTGAGCATCACAGCGTGGGAGAAGGGGCCCAGACATCACTGAGTTCCTGCCTTTCCCAGGCTGGGTGCTGGAGTTCGAATCCCCTGGCCCACTCCCTGGCCTCCCTAAAGCCACCATGTGGTTCTCCGACTCCCCACTGTAGATTGCTACAGCGAGACAGAAGCCGAAGACCCGGACGAGGAGGCTGGGTCCCGCTCCGCTTCGGTGAGTAGTGTCGCTTCACACGAGGACATAGGGGCTGGGCAGCAGGATGTGTGTGTGGGGGGGCTCTGGGCAGCAGGATGTGGGGGGCTCCGGCTCATCCTTGCTCTCCTTTGCCCTGACGCAGCCTAGCCTGGCTCCAGCTTGGAGTGACCCATCACCCACGGTTTCACCGTCGCAGAGTCCGAGGACATCCATTGGCTCTTCAGCAGGTGCTGCGCGGGGAGAAGGGCACTGGGCTGCGTAGATGTCCCGAATATGTTCACGTGTTCTCATCCTGCATCCCGCTCCCACAGACAGCAGTGACAGGGTGCTGGAAGGAATGGTTCAGGGACTGAGGCAGGGGGGTGTGTCCCTCCTGGGGCAGCCACAGCCCCTGACTCATGAGCAGTGGCGGAGCTCTTTCATGCGGCGCAACCGTGACCCTCATCTCAATGAGCGAGCGCATCGCGTGCGGGCACTACAGAGCACCCTCAAGGTGAGCTGGGAGCACTGGGCATGGGCAAGGATGAAGCTCTGGGTTTCTGGCCCTGGTGTCTGGTTCCCAGCTCCACTGTGAGCTCCAGACGGTAGACTGAAGGCTCGAAGCCCTGGCTTTCTGATTCTGGGGTCCAGTTCTGGGCTTCATACTCCATTTGAGGCTTAAGGGTTTCCTGAACCAAGTTCTAGAAGGTTCCGTATAGAGACTAGATACTAACCCAGGCTCTTGGGCTGGGGTACCCTGGTGCTGAGCACAGGACATGAAGTTAGTTCTGGGTTCTGTCCCTCCTGAGGTGAATTTTGCCATCTATTCTCACTTCAGGCAAAGCTGCAGGAACTGCGGGCCCTGGAGGAAGTGCTGGATGACCCTGAGCTCACGGGAGCAAAGTTCCGTCAGTGGAAGGAACGGAATCAGGAGCTGTACTCAGAGGGCCTGAGCACCTGGGGAGGGATACGGGCCCAGAACAGTTCCTCAGCCCCAACCTCTGACTCCAGAGGTCAGTCCCCACAGCCCTTGCCTGCTGCCTCTGACCCCGAGGAGTCCTCTCAGCTTTTTCCTTTGACCTCGGAGAACAGCCTCCAACCTCCTGACCTCTGACCCTGGCTAGGGCCTGGCTCCTGACTGATGACCCTGAGGGCTAGTCATCCCCAGCCTCTGACATGTCTAAGACAGCATGCCCAAGGGGTCTGTGTGAGGCTGGAAGTAGTGCTGGTCCTTGGCATTACTCCCAGACCAATCCCCCTACCCTGGGCTTCCACAGTTTCTGCTCATGTGTCCCCTGGAGTGGAGGGAACATGGCCTTCCTCTCTGTGCTGTAGAGATTCCCTAACCCATCCTCAGATCTGGGATATACCTGCCTCCCGGGTCCTCCGGAAGGGTTTCCCAGGCCACATCTGGGTGGGCATTTATTTCACATGAGAGATGCTTTTCTACCAAATAAAGTTGATTTCTCCACCATGAACCCTGTGTCTTTGCTGTGAATTGGGAATCTGCACATACCTCCCTCCACACACACACAGGGGTGAAGAGCTGTCCCGCTCGCTCCCCCCCCCACACACACAGGGGTGAAGAGCTGTCCTGCTCACCCCCCCCACCCCACACACAGGGGTGAAGAGCTGTCCCGCTTGAGTGAACACTTTCCGTCACAGGGTGGGTGACAAGCTCCCTGTGTAGCTCATTACCCTGAGTGTCCACTCAAGGCTCCTGTGACAGGGTGCTGGGCTCTGTGGTCATTCGTCCCTTTGCTCATCTCACCTTAGTCCTGGGAGGTCAGACCTGCTCCCCTGTTCTAGCCCCAGGGAGGGACACTCTTCTTCATAGATAAGTAAACTTACCTTTCTTGAAGGACCGGGTGGGCAGCTGTGGGGCAGGTGGCTGAAGGCAAAGAGTCCTGGGCATCTCTTCTTCACTCAGCCCCACCTCTAGTCCCTGGATCCAGAAAGGGGACCTCTGTTCACTGTATTCAAATGACACGGGAGTGCGACCTACTCCCCTGCCCAGCCTCTAACCTCTGACCCTATCCTGAAGCCAGTGGCTTTTTTTTTTTAATCCGGTTGGAATGTCTTGCTGGAACACAGAAGGGTATAAGGTAACAGCTGCCTTTGTGACCTCACTTCAACGGAGAGAGCCTGCCTGCAGCAAATCTTCACTGGAGAGAAGGGGACAGAGCAAAGATGTCTGAAAATCAAAAATCGTGGCTGCAGCGGCCCGAAACCAGCAGGGTAAAATACTTGGACACTACGGTGGAGAGGCTCTGGGTTGGGCAGGGGCAGTGACCACACTAAAGGCCTGCTTCTGTCCCCTGTAGAAAAACAACACCTATACACTCATGGGCCGTCATGAGGAGCAAGTACTCATCAGCCGCAGGGACATCATGGACAAGAAGGTAAGGGCAGGAGGAAGGTAGGGACAGGCTGGGCTGAGACTTAAGTGACCCCCATAGTTCCCTTCTGCGGTCCTCTGCCCTTTAAATGTCCTGAGGACCTTCGTTAGGAGCTAATGCCTGCTGAAATGACTCCTTACAGGGACCCCTCTGTTGTGATAGCCACTCACCAGCAGATAATCCAGGACCCCCAAAGGTCCCCAACAGCAACTCTCTTTTGATGATATTTGTTATGACTTCTTTCCTGGCAACAATAGCACCTTCTAAGGCAGACCCCCAGGTGGACCCCCATTCCCAGGGAACAGGGAGTAAATCATCCAGGCAAAGGTCACCTGTGGTGACGCCTGCCTGAAGCAAGGTCTCTGTTCCCTCCCAGGATGCCTTGGACATACAGGAGTTCATCACTACCTTGTTTGTCAAGCACTTGCTTCGACATCCCGCCTTCCAGCTGCTGCTGGCCATGCTGCTAGTGACCAACGCTGTGACCATTGCTATCCGTACCAACTCTTACCTCGGTCAGGTGGGCTGCTGGCCTGATCTCTACCCCTACTGGCTCTGACCTGGGACAAGGTGCTTCCTTTCCAGGCCCTTGACTCCTGATGGTTGGATTGGATGTTCTTCGGGACTCGGGTCCCCAAACAGGCCTAGTGCAGCAAACCTTTCACCCTAATGTTCAGGAGGCAGAGGCAGCCCGATCTCTGTGAGTTAGCAGCCAGCTTTGTCCGTGTAGCAGGTTCCCGGCTAAGCAGACTGCACAGTGCGATTACGTTCAAATAAGTAAAATCATAAAAAAGACAGTCTCCATGGACCTTCATGGGATCTGCAAGTCAAGAAAGACTTTTTGGGCTAGAGAAATGTCTCAGTGGCTAAGAGCACTTGTTGCTCTTCCAGGGGACCTGAGCTTGGTTATCTGAGTATGGATTTCCAGAACCCGAATAAAAGCTGGATGCCACAGTCTGATGTAGGTGAGAAGAGCCTTGTAGCTAGCACAGTGAGGACCCTGGAGATCCATGCACCAGCCATTGTTTGGTTATAAATGCAAACGGCCCAGCATTCTGATAGTGAACTTGAGCTGGGGAGACAAAAGGAAAGAAGGGGGGGGGTAGAAAACAGAGGGAGCAGCATTATAGTTTTTTCTTTCATTTTGCACGTGTATATGTGTGTGTGTGTGTGTGCTCGCGTGCATGCATGTGTGTGTTTGTATGCATGTGTACATGTACCATTGCAAGAATGTGAAGGTCGAAGGATGACTTCCAGGAACCAACTCTCTCCTTCCACTGTGGGACCCAACTAAGGTGGCCAGGCTTGATGACGAGCACCTCTACCCACTGAGCCACCTTGCCAGTCCCCGAGGACCATTTTGTAAAGTGTTAAAACAAGATCTTATTATGGGTCTCAGTCAAAAATGCTGGAACTGGGGCTGAGAGTGTAGTTCAGTTGGTAAATCAGAAATTCAACATCACCCTTGGCTACATAGTTTAGAGCCAGCCTGGGCTACATGAGGTTGCCTCAAAGAATATAGTAGAACAAGAAAAATAAGCAAAGCCTGAGACCCTAGAGTGGAGTTTGTGACTGAAGATCAGAGCCTAGAAGGCTGTAGGTGCAGCTCGCCGGCCGTAGTGAGTGTGGACAGCAGAAGGCCCACATACAGAACAGGGAATCTTTTGGCTACTGGGATACAGAAAGAGAAAGAGGCAAGATAAATGGTTTCCCGGGGTGGACTCCATGGACTGAAAGGGGGGTCACAGCTATAAGGAAGCTGAGAGAGCAAGATTGAGGTTGAGGAAGAGTGAACTTGGTCTCGGACAGAGCGTAATTACCAATCTGCCAACCCGTGCACCCAGGGTGCATGTCCTGGATCTACAGAGGGAGGACGCCTCTGACCTGACCCAGAGAACTTGGAATGCTGCATCCACAGGGGTGGTTGGGACCAGGCTAGCAGAGAAGTTCTCTAGGGTTTGGGGTCCTGAAACTCCTGGGGGGGGGGTGAATTTTTATGTTTTTGTTGTTGTTGTTGTTTTGTTTTTTTGTTTTCTTCAGTTCCAGAGTCTGTTTAGCCCTTCCTCCACCCCCTTTCCCAAATAGCCTACTCTAGAGGCTGGGGTGAAGGCCCTCTGTGTGCTTCTGGGCTCCTAACTCCCCATCTGGGAGATGCGACAGAAAATGACAGAACAGTCACATGACCCAGCACGTGACTGCACTTAGCACTGCCTGGTATATGTGCAGAAAGTAGTTCCTAAAGAAACCCATAGAGATGCTAAGGTGTAAGAGTAACAGGGGTGGGCTGGAGAGATGGCTCAGTGGTTAAGAGCACTGACTGCTCTTCCAGAGGTCGAGAGTTCAATTCCCAGCAACCACATGGTGGCTCACAACCATCTGTAATGAGATCTGGCGCCCTCTTCTGGCATGTGGGCATGCATGGAGGCAGAATGTTGTATACATAATAAATAAATAAATCTTAAAAAAAAAAAAAAAAAAAAAAAAAAAGAGTAACAGGGGTACTCCCCACACCCTCTCTCTAGTCCCCCACACCCTCTCTCTAGTCCCCCACACCCTCTCCTCAGCCCCCACACCCTCTCTCCAGCCCCCCCACCCTCTCCTCAGCCCTCTGCACCCTCTCCTCAGTCCCCTGCACCCTCTCTCCAGCCCCCTGCACCCTCTCTCCAGCCTCCTGCACCCTCTCTCCAGCCTCCTGCACCCTCTCTCCAGCCCCCACACCCTCTCCTCAGCCCCCACCCTCTCTCCTCAGCCCCCACACCCTCTCCTCAGCCCACACACCCTCTCCTCAGCCCCCACACCCTCTCTCCAGCCCCCCCCACCCTCTCTCCAGCCCCCTGCACCCTCTCTCCAGCCCCCACACCCTCTCCTCAGCCCCCACACCCTCTCCTCAGCCCCCACACCCTCTCCTCAGCCCCCACACCCTCTCTCCAGCCCCCACACCCTCTCCTCAGCCCCCACCCTCTCTCCTCAGCCCCCACACCCTCTCCTCAGCCCCCACACCCTCTCTCCAGCCCCCACACCCTCTCCTCAGCCCCCACACCCTCTCCTCAGCCCCCACACCCTCTCTCCAGCCCCCCCCACCCTCTCCTCAGCCCCCACACCCTCTCTCCAGCCCCCCACACCCTCTCCTCAGCCCCCACACCCTCTCCTCAGCCCCCACACCCTCTCCTCAGCCCCCACACCCTCTCTCCAGCATGGCGCAGATTCTGCTCACTGATTCCTCTGTCCCTCTCTTTCTCTTTCCTGGCAGAAACACTATGAGCTGTTCTCAATCATAGATGACATCGTGCTGACCATCCTTATGTGTGAGGTTCTTCTGGGCTGGGTCAATGGCTTCTGGGTTTTCTGGAAGGTAAGGTCCCTGGAATTCCTGTCAATATACCCTCACCTCATCCCTCCTTGGGGTCTGCAGGCACATCAAGTCTTTGTTCTGAAAAATAAAGGGTTTGTATGGAGAGAGAGTGTATCAGTGCAAGGGGCCTTGTGGGGGAGATTTCAGAGAGATCTGTGATTAGGCGGAACATATGTTGTCCAGGAAGTGCCCCTTCTATGTGTTTGAACCCCTGCTCTTGCCTCCCCAGCTCTCTCTACTCACACGAACCCTGGTTTCTGTCTTTGGGGAAATGGAGTCAAGGAACTGAGAGTATCTATCTTAATTCACATGGTTCTGGATCAGAACTCCATTATCTTTTAATGTAATGTAGTAATTTGTTATGTTTTATTTGGTGTGTGTGTTGGGGGGAAGAACTTGTTTGGTTGGTTGGCTTGGTTTTTCCAGACAGGGTTTCTCTGTGTAGCCCTGGCTGTCCTGGAAATTAGTTCTGTAGGGCAGGCTGGCCTTGAACTCACAGAGATCCGATTGCCTCTGCCCCCCCCCCCCCCCGCCCCAAGTGCTGGAATTAAAGGCATGCACTGCCACCACCCCCCAGCTTGTATTTTAAGTTTTATAGGCTCTGTAGTACTCACCTCAGGTAGCAAGAAGCACAGCCAGCACACAGATGGGTGGGAGTGGCAGCATTCCAGCACAGCTCCCCATCCCCTGTGTGTTGATGAAGTGTTTGTTGTTTGTGGGT